GCCCCTTAGCCTGCCAGCTCAGGCTGTGTTCAAACATCAGGCTGGCCAGGAGATCCAGGAAAACKGGATGGTGGGAGCAGGGATGGGCACGGGGCGGTGCTGCAGCCTGGGACACTGTGCCACCAGGATGGCACCAAAACGGGGACATTCACCTTGACCCGACCTTTGGGGACACTGCTGGAGATGAGCAGGTCCCYGCTGTCCCTGCAGGTGCACAACCAGCCTGCCCAAAACCTGTGGGCTGCTCCCCATCCCTGACAGGCACCAGGGGCCAACCCCAAAACCTGCGGGGCTGGGGGAGCCCCCAGGGTGCAGCCCCGATGATGATTTGCTCCCAGCCCGMACGTACCAAGGCGGTGACTAAAGCCGGGATCAAAGCGCCCAAATGAAGGAGCACAGCTCACATCCACCCTTTCTTGCCAGGCTGATTTTAATGAGGGCTGATGGTCCATCCCACAGCTCCCCAGCATCCCACAGGGTTGCAATCCCCACCAGGTCCCAGGGAGAGATTTTTTGGCAGCAGGACGTGGAGCTGGAAAGCTCCCTGGTCAGGAAGCACGAGGGCTGTCAGAGCTACAAACTCTGCAGCTYCAGAGTTCCCTTCCTAACGCTGCTCCTTCCCAAATTACACCRAGAAAAAACACCACTTGGCAGTCACACACAATGAAATCCTGTAGATTCCCACAGCCCACTGGATTTTTAACCTTTTTGTTTAATAAAACCAAAAGCTGGCAGCAGGAAAGGGCAAGTTTTTCCTCCTGCCAGGCTGCTGAGGGAGTGCTGCTGCAGGGCAGTGATTTCCTACTTCCCAAAGGGGACATTCTGCATCAGCCCAACACAAAAGCATTTTCAAGGAAAGCAGGTGACCTCCAGGTCACCCACGAGGACTGGAATTACAGCAGGGTCAGCAACCCCKGACACAGGCATCACACAGATCCTCGCAGGGGAAAAAGTGACAGAGCTCTGGATTTCTGCAGCATCGCTCTCCAGAGTGGTACAGAACCCTTGGGCAGGAGGGGAGAGATGACACCAGAACCCCTGTGACACAGAGGAGAGGAGGGGACGTGCCACCAGTGCCACCAGCACCCTGTGACACAGAGGCAACCAGCGGCTGGCTCGAGAGCTGCTATAATTAGAGGTAAAAGTCAGATCAATACCCACGTTCTGGCACGGAACAGCTCTGCTCTCAATGAAGCACCACTACAGAAACCACATCAGGATAAAGCTCCTCCAGGACAGCTCCTTTTTAGCAGCTGCTGGAAAGAAAGGTCAGTTCCGGGCAGTGAATGTGGCCAGCAACGGGAGGTGGAGAGCTAAAAGCTCTAATGGAGAGCAGCAGCTTCTTAGCTTGGTCTCTGCTCACAGCATCGCTGGGGATGAGTGATTTCCAGAGCACCAGTCCCAGTGAAAAGCCCAAAATGCCGTGGGATGGAGGAGGGCCCTGCCTGGCCTCGGGCAGTCCTCGGGCACTCGGGGCAGCGCCGCCACCGCCGCGATTTTTTATCAGCGGTGCCCGGTGGGACGATTGAAGGAGACGCGTCCAGAGGGAACCGGAATTGCCGGTTTTCTCGTGTTGCTCCCCAAACCCAACAGGCTCCGTTTCCTGCCCAGCGCCCTGACCCTGCGAGGCCTGACATTCCCACCTGCCTTCGCAGCCCAGAGGCTGAGGAAGGAACAGCAAAGCGAAGGAGCAAAGGGAAAAACGTGCGATGAACGCACAGCCTGCGAAAGCAGAGGGGTCAGAGGCGTGCGGGAGGGCACTGGGGTTTTTGCTGGGGCAGCAGCGAGCCCGTGACTYTGTCCATCCCTCCGTCCATCCCGTCCGAGTGTTTCATTTCCCCCCAGCCATGTGCCAGCCCCATCAGCGCCCGGGGATTGCCCGCCCCGTGCGGGCCACTGGGCTCCGGACACCCCGGCCAAGCCGGACACCATGGGGCACCAAAAGCATTTGGGCTTTGCTTGCACTGTGCCAGCCCAGAGCCGCGGGGCAGGGGGAATCCAGCCCCGGTGCCAAAGAGCCCTCGGTGCGGCCGGGGCCGGGGCTGGGCAGGGATGCGGAGATGCCCGTTCTTCCCGGGAGCTGCGGAGCCCCCGGGCTCGGCCGCGCTTCCGCCGGCACCGTAAAACTTTCCCTGCGCGCTGCCGGCCGTGTTTACCTGCGATAAGGCCCGGGAGGTGCGGGGGGGCCCTGCTGGCAGCGGGGGCGGCGGCGCTCGGCGGGGCCGGGCCAGGCGGGGGCGGCGGGACGGGCGGGTGCCCACCGGGACCGGGACCGGGAGCGGGACCGGGAGCGGGACCGGCCCGCGGCGGGAGGAAGCGGCGGGCAGGTGGGGGCGGGGGAACGCGCGCCGCGCCGGCACCGCGGACGGACGGGGACGGACAGACGGACGGCGGCCGCGCCGCGTTACCGGGGCTCGCCCGGAGCCCGGCGGGGACCCGCGCCCCCCATCCCGACTCATTGCATCGCCCGAGAAGCCCCCGAGCCCAGCAAGCCCCGAGGCGATGCCCCGCGGAACSGGCCGGCCCGCCCCCTCCCCGGGCCGGCAGCAGGACGGGGACTAGAACTGGGATTAGAACCGGGATTAAAACCGGGACTAGAACCGGGACCGTGAACACAACACCGCCCCCCTCCCCCCCGTTCCCGCCGCCCTTGCCTGGTTCTTGTCGAATTGCTCCCGTTCCGCCTCCAGGCTGTGCCCGCCGCGGCGGCTCAGCACCCGCGCCGGCACGCTCTTGATGCTGTTCATGGTGGCCGCTCYCGGAGCTCCGCGCTCCGCTCTGGGCGCTCTCGGAGCTCCGCGCTCCGGGCAGGCAGCGACCGGCGCCGCCCGCCCCCCGCCCCTCCCGGCCGCGCACTGCGCCGAGCGCCGGGGCGCCCCCCGCGGCCGCGACTGGAACTGCAGCACCGCCCCCCGCGGGCAGGTGGGACCGGGGGGACACCGGGGGGACAGCGGGCAGGGGACCGGGCCACGAGAAAGGGGACACGGACACGGAGAGAAGGGGGACACGGAGAAGGGGGATATGGCCGCGGGGCGGGGGACACGGGCACGGAGAAGGGGGACACGGGCATGGAGAGAAGGGGCACACGGGCACGGAGAAAGGGGACACGGAGAAAGGGGACACGGACACGGACACGGGCACGGAGAAGGGGACACATCCCTCAGCGGACCCCACTGAGCATCAATCGCCGAGGTGATTCCCCAGCTCAGGAGCTCCAGGAACGTCGTTGACCACCCGGTGACCGTCCCTTCTCAGTGCCACTTTCAGCCCGAAGCACCTGCACACRCTCGCGGCTCATTCCGAGCTCCAACATCACCTTCCCGTTAGGAAAGTCAATGAGCGGAGCTCGCATCCACCCTGCGGAAAGGCCGCKGCTGAACAGAAGCTTTGTTGTCTTTAAATAATAATTCAGTCCAAGGATACAATAGCRAAGAGCTCCCTGGAGTATTTGAGCTGCTTCCAGAAATGAGGATCTGAGTTTGAAGCGTTTCCATTCGAGCCTCAGAGTGTGGTCAATAATGCAGTTGGGTTTTAAGTCACTTAGTGCTGAATAAATTAACCCAATTATTCCCCTTCTTCCCATTCCACAAATCCAGGGCAGCCACAACACAAAATCCTAGGGCTCTGCAGATTCTTGATGCACCGCTTGAGCTCAGTTTTCTATATTGATTTTAAAGCCATCATTTTAAACTCTCAAGGGGTTTAAACTCAGTGAGTTCATCCAGTAACCTCAAACACATTTAAACTGGAATGTGCAGCTCCCGCTTGGAAATTGCATCAATTTCTGTGTGCAGCTGCTGGACAGCTTCAGGGTGAGCATTGTGGCGTTGTTAAAATTGGCTTTTTAGGGGGAATTTTTGTCATGCCCGCAGCAGGAGATTCTGAAGATGGATGCTGAGAAGGTTTTGTGCAGGTRGAGGAATAAATGTACTGTAAAAGCTTGAGGAAACTTGGAGAGAGCTGGAGCAGCTGAGCTTCCCTCTGTGGGTAATGCTGGGTAGGGAAAGAATCTGGAGAGCAGCAGCTCTGGTCAGAATTGGCCACCTAATTCTGGAGTCATTAATACCCAGAGGAAAGGCTGTCACCGGGGTAATTAGAAAGAAACCAGAAAATTATATGAAAGAGTTAATGAGAGGAATCCACAGAGTGTTGTGTTTCAGTGCAGTAATTGTGGATGGAGCTGAGACTCCCACCCTTGGCTGTCCCCACGCAGGAAAAACGCTGGCACAGAGCCCTGGGCAGAGCACTGGTGTCCCAAAATGCTCCCAACCTGCACAGGACCGAGCAGCCCACTCGTGTCTGTGCTCAGAAGTGTCAGAATGAAGTAGGAAATGTGCTGGGCAGTGTGTGAAATGGGCAAGAAAGACACAGTGAAGTATCACCTTTATTAGCTCACTGGGTCTCAGTTMAAAAATAAAGTTCAGATGGTGATAATAGCATGGCTTGCCCAATCAGCAAAGACAAATCCAGTTTAAATGCTAAAAAAAGGTYACATCAAACTTGGCTACTGCTCTASRGTGCAAACAGAGGCCATATACACCTGATTCCATAAACTTTTGTTGGAAGAACCAGCTCCCGAGTGTGGAAAGCTGTTCTGCCCATCTTGGGGGTGACAGCTTTCCCATTTCAACAACATTGGAGGCAGTTCCTGCTTGCAACACTAATTGGGAACTTCCTATAAACATTATTCATCTCTCTACAAGGCAAGAAATCCAGAACAAAAACAATATGCTAAAAAAAAAAAAAAAAAAAAAAAAAGAAGAATGTTTGGCTGTGTCATACTCTATAAATATTTCTGAGCCACCATAAAAAAAATAGTTCCTATGTTGTAACAATTACACACTTCAGATTCTTAAAAAACAAGCTAGTGTTTAACCTGAGCTCTCAGCTATAAAAAAGCTTTGTTAATCTTGGCATAATTCTGTGTTTTATTTCAAGATAAAATACATTCCCTCAGAGTCACATCTTTTTGCCACTTGTGAGTCTTTCAAACACTCAGGAGGACAATGGAAAAAAATGAGGTAACTTTCCATTGTAGCTGCCGGGTCGATGATCTTTGGTCCTCAGAGTTACTTCTGTGTTGGAAACAACTTCTTCCTCTGCAGAAAATGAAAAGATTTTCATTAAAAATCAGGAACATTTCCTCTGAAATATCTGAAGCAACCACACGTATGTCAATTTATTACACACACTGCAAACAGAGTGAGAACACAGAGTAAAAATATAGAGAGGGAAAGGTAAACAAAGTACTTCAGAGAAAGACAACAGTCCCAGGGCCACCACTGCAGTGTTGGGAAATAAAACCTTTCCAGCTGGGTTTGAGGAAAGGAGTGATCTTTGTGCCCCAGGCCAGCCACYGAGTCACCATTTATCAGCAGTGGCACAGGCTGCTGTGCCCAAAACTGAATATAACCTTTTACTCACTGCTTTCCTCCTGAGTTCTTCAACTCTCCCCCACCCAACCTCTCTCCAGAGGCAAAACACTGGCTGATGAGAATGGCTAAATCACTGCAGCTCAGGAGGAAATCACCCTAATGCTTGGCAGTGCACCTGCCCTCAAATGTGTTTCAAAGCAATTTAAAACCAAACAAACACAACCAAAATCAATCCAATCACTTCTGTATATGAAACTGCACGAATGTTTAGTTATTTCTGGACCTGCTCCGCTTCAGATCTAACTGATCACAGTGATTCAGTGCCTTTTAAAACACAAGGAAAATGAGAATTATGCATTAGGCAGCGGCTGGCAGAGTCACTCATTCTTGCCATGGATCTACTGTGGATTGTGGTGTGTTTGTTGCACTGGCTCTTTCTCACTTGAGGCAAATGTGATTATTTCTGTAGGCTCAGCGTGCTCTCACCACTCTGCTGCCTCAGCACGGGGCTCAGCACTTTTGGGGATTTGCTCCTGAAGCTTTGTAACATCAGTGGTTTCAGGATGCAAGTCACAGTGCTGGCTTCAACCTATAAAACCTCCGGCTGCTTTYACCTCAGGGCTCTTTTTAGGAAAAGGAGAGCTCTCTGCTCTACAGGAATGTTCCAGCAGAGTGAGGTTTGGCATTCCAGCTACTCAGCATCCATCTCTGAGTGCTCCATCAGCTGCACTCTGCAGCCCCGATGGGTTCAGTGTCTCCAGGCTTAATGCAGAACCAGCAGAACATGAGGGGGCTGCAAACCACCCCAGCTCCCCAGGGCACAGCGGGTTTGGCTCCACAGGGCAGCAGCAGCTCAGGGATTGCAGCTGGAACAGCCAAGAGAGAACTGAGCTGTCCCCACTGGATTGAGGCTGATCCACATGACAAACCTGGTGCCACACTGTGGGATAACCTCCCTTTGCAGGCATGAGCTCAGTTGTGTCAGCACTGCAAGATTTCCTTCTTCTGCCAGTTTTTCTCCTCATTGTTGCTGGTTCTTACTCAGTTTCATGTGGTGTTCAGGATTTTAACCATATCTGGTTACTCTTTTGTCCTCAGAACCAGACAAAGTGGTGCCTATTGCAAGCGTCCAATCCACAACAGGAGAAGAAATAATCAAAGAGTGAGAAATTTCCTGATTCGAACAGAAAAAACAATCTGCTGTGGGCAAGGCTGCTTTAGATATTCTGAAATGGCTCTATTCAATACATTCTACTTTTGGGGCTCTGAGCCCAGAAACAATATCCTAAAACAGCCCTTGGCCTTGGCATTGGAAAAAAACTCCCCAATCTCTCATTCAACAATGTTCACATCCTTGATCCTGTTATCTGTAACACACAGAGGGTTTTAACTACAATAAGGAGAGTGCAGGTACTGGGGCATGGAGCTGTGAGATCTGACTGCCCCGAGGATGAGGAACGTGCTTGAGAAAAGTTTAATTATTTGACTGAAGGAACTACTCGCTGCCTGAATGTCTGTTTGCTGTTACAGTACTTACAAGAGTTTTATTGGAAATGCACTGAGAATCCTGTGCCAGGCCCATCTCAGAAATCCATAACGTGCATTAAAATTGCAGATGCATTTACAAAAAAGGAAGCAAACAAAAAAAGATCAAGCTGAAAATACCTCCATGCTCAGGGAACATCACAGAGAAAAAAAGGAAGTTTAGCATCTCTTTCTTCTGCAGCAGATAACTGGCTTTTGTGAAGAGTTTCTGCAAGTTCTGTTGTCTCTATTGTAATGTAAAAACACTACATGGAAATCAAAGGGCTCAAAGAATAAAATTTCCAGAGCTGCCAGGTTCAAGCTGGTGAGCAGCAGGGGTACACTTCTTAATTCCATCTTCTCCTCCCTCCCCCAAGCAGGGCACAGAATGCAAAACGTACAAATCCTTCCTGATTAAATTCTACAGGCTGCATTTTGTATTTATTATGTTCTAAAGCTCAGGTTAAAACAGCCCCAGGTAAGCCTGGTTTTAAGCACAGGTTAGCTGGCCTGCATAGATTAACTCAAACACGCTTGACGAGTTTTTGCCCAGAACCGCTCTGAACGCAGATCAAAGTTCTGCAGATGTRGCTCAGGATCTGCTCCCGCCACTACCCACGAGCCTGCTTCATTTTCTGTCCACTAAAGCACCCATTCTGAAGGAAGAGCCGATTTCCAAGCTCAAAAAATGCAGCATCAGATTCTAAAGCAGAGTCACGGGCAGCCGGAGTAGCCGAGCTGTGACGTGCCAAGCAGTGAGCAGGAGCCAGACAGCTGATGGGGCTGGGCAAGAGCCACAAGCAAGCACTGTGTTGTAGGAGCTTTTCAGGAATCCTCCTACTCAGGAGCCTTTGCAAAAGACTAAACTGCTGCTGTCTTTGCCACTGAATGAAATCCTGCAGAGGAGCTTCTGAACAAAATATCCTTTCAGTTTATGCAAACGCTGGCACACAACCTTTACACTCTGTCAGTCAGGCCCAGCACAGCGAAGGTTTTATGGTTGTGAATGTTATAAAAATGGCTTTGTCTGCTCCTTACAGCAACGTTGTTCTGGTCAAGTTCATCTAAGGCTAAAAGGAGTGCAATTTTTTAGAGGGAGGTGATACGTGTGAGGATGAAGATGAGGGTTCAGAGTTGCCCTGAAACCAGGAGTCTAAATCCTCCCTTTGGGATAAACACCAGCACGAGCATACCCATTTCTAGGGACAAAAGRTGCAATGTCCTTGTCAAACAAGGTAGAAATTCTTATGGATATTTATCCACCAAACAAGTGACCCTTTCTCTGATTACTTCTACTCAACAGGAGCTTTATCAGCACTTGTGCTCATAAAATAAACTGCCATGACAGCTACATACAGGTTCTTTTCTTTGACCACTGAATATATTCTCTGACCCTGCAATGAAGGAACTAAAACTATTAACCCACAAAAAACTCTAAATTTATATAAGCTGAGCTTCTGKTTTAAATTCATACCCAGAACTACCCTATATACTACCTATTCCCTATTCTGCCCTCCTTTCCATKAATATAATAATAAACCAGTTCTGAGTGTGGGACAGCAAAGCAGTGAGTGTGTGCTGAGCCTAAGAAATCACCTCATTTGCTTCGAGTGAGAAAGAACCAGTGTTCACTTTTTTCCAGACCTCCTACAGCTTGCCCCAAAATGACTTCTGCYTCCCATCTGTTTAGACACATGCAGAAGTCAAATCCTGTCATGACCTTGAGCAGCCATGAAGAATCCCATTAAAAATTCAAGCATTAAAGCATGCAAGAATTGTCTCTTCATGACCAATATCCTCCTCCTGCTTTGCTAATGCAAGGCAAGCATAAGGGAAAGGATGAGTATTTCTGAATATTTCTGAGCAGCTCACCCTGGTTCTGGGAGAGCAGTCTGTACCTTATTCATGTTGCCAGATTTGGGAATGCAGGAAGGATTTGCGTGGAGAAGGTTGAACTCCAGATCAGCAAGCATCTGTCGGGATTGGGCCAACGAGCGCTCCAGCCGCCTGAACAGAGAGCTGGTGTTCTGTGGGACACAGAGAGGGAGACAAAGTTATGGAAGGACCTCTTTTGGGGTTTTTCAAGGAATTATAATACATTAAAAAAACAGTGTTTTGATTTTGAAATGTTTCTGTTCAAAATACTGTAGTGTAACCGACTCTGTCTAGCTGCTGGTGTTCCTGATGAACACAGAGCTCTTTCCTTGTGACATTTTTTAACAGATTTCCATGTGCATGTATAGGGAGCACACACAAGAGAGGTACTTCAGGGATAAAAGAGAAAACAGACATGAGAAAGAGGGAAAACCAAGCAGAACAGGAAACAAACAACATCCAGTAGCTTCTGATAACTGCATCCACGTGTACTCAGATATTTTGTGGAATTACCAATTACCCAGCATCCTTTTCCCTGAAGTTTTTAATTCCAAAACATTATTCATTTTTTAAAAACTCATTTATACTTATGCTGACCAAGACATAACGAGTTATTTTAAAAAAGTATATTACCACCTTTGCCTTAAACCTGCAGTCCCCATCACTTGAGTCCCCAGTTCTTCCATGCCAGGAGATACTTGCATTCCTACCACCAGTCATAATTCCCCCAAATTYCACTTAAAATCAGCCAAGGACTGACAATAAGATACTGACTCTGTTCATCCAATATCTGTTTGTTGGTTTAGTCACTGCCAGGTCACTGATGTCCAGAGGGGAGTCTTCACCAGAAACTTTCTCGGAGCTCTGAGTCATGTCGCTCTTCTGAGTGGATGTCAGATGGGCAGAAGCCAAGTAGGAATTCAGATCCACGTTTTCTTCACTGCTGGAAAAAAATTAAGACTTGGTAGAAACAGCATAGCCAYCCTTTTAAAACTTGCAAGGGAAATTTGTGGGACAACATTAATAACTGTGGGCCCTGAGCCAAGGAAACCAAGAAACTTGAGAGATTACYCYKCTCCTCARAGCAYTGCTGTGTTTAACAGYTTCCCTAGATCGGTTTCATCCTCTRAGGACAGGGGTTTGACATTCAACCAGTCTCAACCAGCCCCATGTGCTYCAGTGTGGATTTAACCTTGCAAAGAGCACACCAAAGGCAACACTTTGTTCTTCCCAACGCTCTGCTCCTCGCTCTTCTCTCACACCCAAMTCCCTTTTTGGTTTTAATCAACCATTAGGCAAATTAATATTTGTAGGTGGATCTTTCACAGTGGGAATTTCACAGTGTTTTACAGTCATCATCTCACTTCAGAGATCACAGAGATCTTTCCCAAAGAGGCTTGTGTTTATTTATTTTTAAATACAGGAGCCAACTGTATTCATCTGCTTCTGAACAAAACAGAAGCAGAGTGCTAGCCCTGCCTGGATTGTTAAATAATGAAAAAAGACGTGTATTTTAAAGAACATACTGTCATTGAATTGATAATTTTTCATTAGGTATTCTTTAGACTTTTATTTCGGTGTTATAGTGCTTTCCACACCCAGCAAGACTGTTAAAAATAGGTGTATTTTTAAATGGCATTCAGTCTAGGAAAAAACCCTCATGAGAGTCTCCAGCTCACAAGTGTCTGCTGTGTCCCATTTCACTTCTCCCATAAAACACTGGGATAAAACAGGCTCTCTTTTAAGAGAGAAAAGCTCAYGTCTGTGTGCTTCTGAGTGGAAGGGTTTTGTGGAGATGGGAGGGAACAAACTGCAGCAGCTTGGAACGGGGATGTGAGGAGATGAGATGAGCATGGCCTGTCCTGGAGAACACACAGGATGGGAGGGAGGGGGAAACAGGTTTGATTCTGAGGCAGGGAAATGGCTCAGGAATGGGTGCCTTAATCCATCCTGAGCACACTGAATGAGTACCTGTGGATGTTCCCTCTTTCAAATGAGAATTGAGATAAAAATCCAAAAGCAGCAAATGTTGGCCCAACATAAATGAAGTCACCAAGTCAGAGCACACAGGGATTTCACAATCCCCTTTGCCGTTGGGGAAGGTATTTGACTGTTAACAGCCTCCTTGTTGGCTGTTCCAGAATTCAGGAACTCATGGCAAAAATATTTGCTGGGCTGACAGGGAGGTGCCAGCACCCTTCCCTAAACACAAACTACATCATCAGCACTATGAAAGCAGCAATGGAAAACTGGAGGATCCAGATTGGAGTCCCAGGAGGAATGTTGTGTTTGGTCTCTGCCACTAATCCCTTCACAGAAGCAATACTCCTGCCTTCCTCCCATTTACGGGCGAGGATTTATGGCCTGGCAAATCCGAGTCAGCAGAGGCTGGAGAGCAGACAGTCAGGGATTTGCACTGAGTCAATCCATCTCCAATTAGCAGGGCCCCAGGACCAAATGTGGGCATCAAGAAAACTGGAGAGCTCAGCAGCAAATCCCAAATGGGTAGCACAGCCCCTCCTTACTGGAGGATATTCTGTTCTAGCCGCACTGCCCAGGTTGGATTTGTTCCTTTTCCCTTAAAATTGACTCAAGGACAAGACAAATAGGACAAGACAAAAAGTGAAAGCAGCTTTCGTGATCCAGCCTCAAAAGGGATTTGGAGGGATGGCAGTGTGTCAGTGGTGCTGCTGGGGGAGTAGATAAGGAAGGTCAGGGTAGACAGAAGGGGAGTGGAGTCTTTTCAGTGATTTATAGGCAGTGGAAATCAGAGAGAGCCCACACAGCATGTGAAGCTCAGCTAAGGCAGTGGGAATGTGCCAGGACAGCAATTCTTTTTCAGTGGCTGCCCATTCACCTTCTTTCTGAACAGGTCTGTATCACTGCAGCAACAATTCCTACAGTATTTCTGTTTCAAAAAAAAAGCCACACAGAATGAAAGCATCCATACATCAGATCTTTCCATTCCATAACATTAATCTGTGTGGATGCTGGGCAGACTTGCTGGCAAATGCTGTTAGCAGGTTTAAACAGCTGTTCATTTACTGTGCTTGTCAAACTACCAGCTGGAAGGATCCTCCTCTGGCTAAAAGGCAGCTCTGAAATCGCTGTGAAACTTCAGAAATCCTTCTAAAACAGAGCTGGTAAATCTTTTTTTTTTTTTTGAAAGGAAATAGAGGAACCAACAGAACAAATCCACAGCGAGTCCCAGCTCTGAATGCTTCTGCATGTGCAGGCACAAAGCCACTTCTGTATGTGCAGAGCAGCGTTTTTATCTCGCAGACATTCCAACACCACTGAGGCACCTGAGTCTTCTTCTGACACTTCTCAGCTTTAGAAACCTCACTGTGCTTGTCCCCAACCACATGTCCTTCTCCTCCCACAGCACAAACAGAGGGATAGAGTCCCACGAAACTGGAGAGAGGACAGATTGCTGTCCTTTAAATCTTGCCATCTCATTTCTTGCCCCGACAGAGGCAGCAGCCTGTGCTCAGAGCTGTGTCCTACATTCTTGCCCAGCCTCGGTGTGATTTCTCAACAGAAATAACAGAGTCACTAAAGCATCACACAAAACCTGGGTCCGTTTCTTGCCACACAGAAATGTCACTGTACAAGTCCAKCTCTGCTCAGAACTCATATTTTACCCACCAGAGTTATAAGCAACACCTGGGATTTCAAAAAATCAGAAGATTTTCTCAATAAGTTTATTTGGCTAAGTTATAAGGTATTGGAGCTTCTCCTGCCCACACAACTCTTGGGGATAAGAGATGAGAAAAAAATAAATGCATAAAAATAGAATCATGATACTTTAAGAGCTATTTTTATTTTAAAATTGTTATTTTTCAAGTTGAAAAAACTAAATTTAAAACAGCAGTTACTTTAAACATAGCTTGAGATAATATGGAGAACTTATACACCTAAATTTCTACATAACTAGCTTATACTTATTTCTTAAAGGAAACAAACTTATAACCTTTTCGAGCAGGTACATTTCATCTTTCGTGCAGTCTCAAAAGAGCAGTAATCTTTTCCACGGTGCGTATTTCCGTCTCTTTTTTTGGGTTTGAAAATCTCCAACCATTCCAGATCTGATAGCGGCTTCCATCGTTCACCTTTATTTACGATGAAGTTACTAATACAGGAATCAGATTCAGACTTGCAAGTCACAGGAGTCTCTCCGCTTTTTCGGCCAGACTCAATTTCAGATCTCTCTTCCCAGGTTTTGTTTTCACTACAAGTTCTGTCAGACTCGATTTCAGATTTCTCTTCACAAGTTTTGTTTTCACTACCAGTTCTGTCAGACTCCATTTCAGATCTCTCTTCCCAAGTTTTGTTTCCATTACTAGTTTTGTCAGACGTGACGTGGTTCTCCATCAAAGTGCTTTGCAAATCTACACAAGATTTGATGCTAAGCCAGCGCTCATATGAAGGTACAGACACCTCAAAGGCTTTTCGGTCTCTGCTTTTCACTCCATTCTCTCCAATTTCCCTGTTTCTCAATGGCCTCGTGTTGTTTGCCTCATGGGATTTTTCACTGTCTAGCTCATCAAAGCTTGATGCAACATCCTGCTTTTCTCCTTCTTCCGCAGGGACAGCCAAGCCTTTCACAACTTTTTGACACCGGTTTAAGAACGCTGAGGTAGTTTCCTCCAAGTCTGATGCATTCAGTAACTGTCTATTATCTACTTCACACATCTCAGGGGTGGGTTTTACCCTACTTTCTGGAACTGGTGCAGTTCCACACTCCTCGTACATCCTGTGGCTGCCCTCAGTCCTACCCATGTCTGTCTCGCTGGGGCTTTCAGAGGCAGAGAATGTGGCCCCTGAGCTACAACGGCACGACAAAAACAAGTCAGAAAYGCTGCAGGTAAAGAGCATCCCCAAGTGCACTCCTAAAGCTCTACACAAACAGAGGCTGCTGCCACAGCTCATACACCACCAGGCAGCTGCATCCTGCCAAAACCCCATGGAAAATCTGCCCAGATTTGGCTGTTACTTTTCAAAATCAGTCTGAGCGTTCCCTCATGTTTTATACAGTGTGGTGATTCTGTCTGAGCCTCCAGGGTGTGCACCAATTCCCTAAGTTTACGCCCTAAAATAAACTTGGCTCTTTAAACTAAAGTAGTAGGGAGCCAGGTTAACACCCCTACCACCAGACTGTTTCACTTTCTAAAAAAATCCTGTGCTGTCTRGCCTGCTACAACACTTGGTCTGTGACTGATGTTCATGGCCTCTCCTAACCAAATAAAAAACAAGGTACTTGACAGCTACACTGGATGTTTGTGGTTGAGTCCAGCAAAGCCATCTTGACCCAGCACAMACCTCTGCTAGGATGTTAGTTGTGGCTGAACAGTGAAGTCTCTCTTTAAGGACAAACTATTCAAGAAAAAGAAAATATAAAAATGTATTTACCTCCTTCCACTTGCTGCCTTTTCATTCTTTTGCCTTGAGTCCTCAGAGCTCTCCAAGTTGATATGGAGGAAGTGCAAGTCCCGCTGCTGTTTTGCACAGACCTGTTAGAGACAGTGATGGGCATTAGTGAAAGGCTGGGGTGCAGGAGCATCATCATCAGGTAGTACCACACTGCCTGCCTTCCAAAAACATCCTCAAAATGATTCTATAAACCAATACTTCTAGTCAAACTATTGACAAAGAAAGACTTCCAAATCTAAGRGGACATCTCTGCATCTATTTAGGAAAATAACTTTTTGCAGCAATAAACAGGATTTCTATTAGAAGGCTGTAGTATTCTCTTAGGATGGAACCACACTTTATTATAAATGAAATCTCATTACTGTCATTTGATATTTAATACATGTGGTTATTATGTTGTTCACAGTTACAGAATTTACAGTACATGAATGATGATCATGGGATTTGGCTTTCACTGCAGGGGATTTTTTTTGTGAAGCTAATGGAGAAGATAACATACCCATCAATTATTTGCAATTAAAAAAATGGAACATGCCTTGAGAACCTCAACTGAGAGCAGGTGAACACACAGGGCTGAAATCTTGAAAAACAGATCTGCCAGGACACCAYGTCCCTCACACTGCTGAGTCACCTTGGGCAGGGGTGTAATCCCAATCCTGCTGCCCTCCCTCTGACACCACAGGYATTTCAGCTCAACCCCAAATGAAATAAATCAACATTCTACAGGGATCCCAGCAAGGCACAAACAGATTTTTTTTTCTTAATCAATAATATCTAGATCTGAGTTTTTGACACTGTTCCACGCAGGTCTGATGTTACTGAAAATGTTTCTCTAACCACARAGCAGAAACACGATCAGGCCTGTACCTGCCGCAAGCTGGACAATTCTCTTTCCATCCGCGCTTGCTTGGACTTGGCAAACTGATAAAGTTGATCCTTTCTCTGTGCTTCCTCCACTGTTTCAAAATATAATAATTTTTTTAATTACTTCAGGTGAATAGACACAAAGCATGAGCACTTGCAAATGCTGTATCAGTACAAAGTGGTACCAAAACAAAACAAAAGCATTTTCTTAAGATCAACAGGAYCTGTTTCTCCTCCAGATAAAAAGARCACAAAACCCACAAGACAACTAAAAAATCAAGTGTTTTCCTTGGACTTTTCCTCAGCATCTGGCCTCATTTTACTAGCAGCAATACTGTGCTTCATTGATTTATTTAACTTTTTCATGAAGGAAAGGAAAAGAGAAAAGRGAAAGGGAAAAGGGAAAAAAAAAGAGGWGAGGATAAGGAAAATTCAGTTCATTAATTCTGATTCATGYATGTACAGGGAAGTGCTGAGAAATAATTCCCAATTCTATTGGTTTTTAAATAATGAGGCATGGGATCAATRTCTGGCAAAGGCAATAGCAGACTAAGAGAGATAGGCAAGGAAATTATCTCACAGCAGAGGACAACTTTGGCCACCTCATCTTTCAATCTAACCTAATCTTGGTTATCCCCAAGAATAATGCAGTGACCTTTCCTATCCATGGCAGCATTGAGATGTTTTTCCACCCAAAGCAAAGGTATTATGGAGASCAAGATGCAGTTTACCAAGGCCTGCATATTAAACCAGCCTAAACCAACCCACCACCTAAAGAAAGCAACAGGGAAGAGAAAGTCTCAGAATTTTCAGGAGAGAATCCCCCYGAGCCATTTACTCCTCCCTGTGTAATCGTTCTGCCGAACTTTGTGCTTTCACAGGATTTTATAAAGTGTCCCTGCAGAAGCCCCAGATATTGTTTCCACAGTAGAATGGCACACAAGGGATACACTTTTATTAAACTGCAAGACAACAAGCTGCCTCCTTCACAGACTTCAGTGAATTGCTGCCCAGAAGCCTCAGAGCTGTTGAAAGCTAAGGCGTGAAAAGCCAACTGGCCACCTTTACCTGCCAATATCAGCTCACTCCTCAAGCAGCCATTTTCTTTYTTCAGGTGACTGATTTCTTCCTGGTGCTTGCTGCTTTCTTTCATCTTTTCAGAGAGGACATCTGTAAAACAAAGCATAACGTTTCCCAGAGTGAAAAGAAATCATGCTGGCCTACACTAAATTAGGTGCCCAGTATAAACATTTACCTTTCATGTTATTTACTTGAAACAAGACATCATTYAGTGTCAGTTTGAGGTCCTGCTGTTCTCTGTTGCGACTGAATTCCTCCAACTTTGCTGCACGCAACGCACTTTCCAGCGTTTTAAATTTGGATGTAACCTCAGTAATCTGATCAGTTGTTTCAAGTAAGGCCTTGTCCTGAAATAGGAGAGAATGAATTCTTATTTTTTATATCATGGATGGGTTTTGACAAAATAGCACGACATCCTGCTGCAGTAGTTACAGGGACCCACAGACTTCCTTCTGAGCTTTTGAGGGAAAAAAAMCCCCAAAATTAAAGCTCAGAAACAAGCTTGTTTATGAAAATAAACCAGTTTATTGCTGACCCTTTTTCGCTTTTCAAACAAGCCTAAGAATCAACCATGAGTGAGATCAACAGTGACAGAAGACTCGTGGCACAGTCAGCATCAACTGCACTGCAGTTTGACCACATTTAGTGCCCATGAGATGACAGATGTTACAGATGTTACAGATGTTACCTTCAGCTGAAGCATAGTGAGCAGCTCCTGTTCCCTCGCTTGAAGCTGGCCTGTTTTAGCAGACAGCTCCAAAATTGAGCAGTGGAGACTCTGATTTTTCTCCTAGGGAACAGAAATAAGTGTCAGCTATTATGTCATCAGTTCAGAGTTGGTTTTTTTTTTTCCCAGTAAATGCATCCACAACGTTATTTAAACATCACCAATGGCAATGTGGGATCCTGAGCAAGCTGGAGAAAAGAGGACTGAAGTAAAAATTTGTCCTCAATTTGCTCGTGATCAAGGGTCTTAACACCCTGCATGTCTAAGTTTTGGAATGTTACAATTTATCACAGGCATCCTGCACATGCATGGACTGCAAAAACAGATCATTACTCAACCCCTACCTCCAGRGCCTGGCAGTGAACAGATGAATCTGTGACTTTTTGACTGAGCTCTTTGAACTTCTGTTGTGTGTGTTCAAGTGTCATCTGACTGTCATTCTGCTGGGTTTCTAATAACTTTAACTTTTTGGTCARTGATTTTATAACTGCATTTCTCTCGTTCAGCTCGCCTGAAAAGGAAGGAGATAAGRTTACCTGTGAGAAAACAGCTCAGAGGCTGTCATGCAATTTCTGAAATCTCAGAAATAATTTAATGTAGTGTTTTAAAATTACACTATTCAGAACTGGGTGTTTGTGTTGCACACTCTGAAGGATTCCCTGGCTACTCAGGGCAGATGGAACAGGAACTGGGTGGTGAACTCTGTACTGAGACCATTTGGAGCYGCCAGGTGTTTCACTGGGTGGTTTGTGTTTGCTCAGAGCTGTGCAGCTCAGGGCACAGAGCTCTGTAACTCCCCAGCAGGCTGCAATTTTTTCTCTTCCCCCACATTGATTTAATCAGATTTATTTTTTAAGAATTCACAGAAACAATTTACACATTCAAAGAGAGTTAACTGAACATCACACCCCCTTCAAGATCAGAGCACTTCAGCACCCCTGTGGAAGTTTAGATGTCAGAAAGAGACAATAAATTTAAAGGCTGAAGGGTAGGAAATGGTCCCTTATATGATGCAAAATTGTTATTGAGGGTTAAGATCAAGATCTTATTCTTTACATCACAACACTTACTGGTTAATAAGCTGCATCGTTCTGCTAAATTCAGTATTTTTTGGCGATCATTTTCCCAGGCCTGAATGTGCCTCTCATGCACTGCTACCATGTCATTGAGCTCCCTGTCACGATCTTTCAGTTCTGCAATCAAAAGCTTGAGTTCTTGTCTCTGTCTCCTAATGATGCTGCTCTTGTGATCTGGGCTAAATGCCTATAAAAGGTGAGACATGGAATGCATTTCAACACAAGGAAGTGACAAATTCTCTCGTAATAAACKGGAGGGTTTTATTTTAAGTTAAGATGTGTTTATATTATAAATAGACACCGTTCCAAAAAGTTCCTTATGCTTTGGTACCACCTGTGGCCATTGACTTGAAGCAGAACAAGGTGGTACCACCTGTGGTCCATGACTCAAATCGTCAGCAGCCCAGTGAGCAGCCTCCGACCGAAAATAGAACTGATTGTTAACGGCACTTTCACGTTTTACCTGGGGCGAAGCAGAACGCAGCAGTGATGAATTCATAGGGGACTGGGGGCCAGAGCACTGCCAGGCATTAGCGGAACCGGGAACACTTGAAGGATGTTACGCTCAGCAGAGGCTCCCCCGTTCCCCGTTGACCCTGAGGGAGAACAAGCGGCGTTGAGCCGGTGTGAGGGGGACGGCCCTGAGGGCTCCCGCAGGCCTGAGGAGGGGCCCTGAGGTACCACCCGGCGGGGAGCGACCCTCCGTTCCCGGGCACGCCTGCAGGCTCTCCCCGCTGTCTCCCCCGCTTCCTCAGCCCGGGGGCTTCCCGTGGCCGCCCATTACCCCCCGTTTGTCCCCGTTAACCCCCGGCCGCCCCCAACCCACCGGCACCGCCCGGCCCCGCCCGCCGTTGGCAGAAGCTCCGCCCCCCCGTAGCCAAGGAGCCGCGGGTTCGAATCCCGGGGTCACCGGTTCGAGTCCCGGCGTCACCGGTTCGAGTCCTGGAACCGCCGGTTCGAGTCCCGCGGCTGCCACATCTGGGGATATTCCCGCGGGGCTGGGGCGGCGAGAAAAGGGTAATAATTAATAACGTTGTTAATAGGGGATGAATAAGAACCGGGTGGGATGTTTGGTACTTYCCTGTTCAGCTGTAAATGGGAGGACTGCAGAGATGTAGTCACCTCTCCACTATTTCCAGCTACTCTCTCCAGACACACCCATGGTTTAGAAATAGAAATCACCAAAAAAAGCTACTTTACAGGAAGAGAACAGAGCGTCTGACACATCACCCTTTTGGCTTTCAACTCAGCGAGGTTCTGCAGTACAGGAGCACGTCACTTCCAGGACTCTGCCACCAGGGAGCATTTATTGTTATTAAATGGAGCAGTGAAACAAAAAGCACCAAATGGATGCTCGAGGCTGTTTGYGGGAGCACAGAGAGCAGAGCTGGCACCCCAGCTCACCTGCTAACACAGGCTGTGGAATAGTGCTCACTATTAATTTGTGTTCATTACTACAATCCTTGAACGAGCAGCACAATAAAAGTATAAAGCCACTACAATTGCCTCACCTAGAAGCCCAGGAGAAAGGAAAGCAGATGAAAAACAAACGTTTAATTACTTRAATTCTTATTTTCCTGTAGGATAGATGGAGGAAAGTTGATGTAAAAAAACTCAGAAACTATATTCAGTGAGGAACAGTAATTTTATTTAAATCTACTTCATGCGTAAGCATGGTAGAACCCCAATTTAACTTTGGCAAATATCACAAAAAAAACCCCAAAACAAAAAACCAAGCAGCCTATACAGAACAGTGAAAATGCCAAGGATATGGGTTCTCCACAGTTTCACTGCAGAGCAAATGGATTTAGAAGCCTCACTTTAGCTATATCATTTATAACCATATAATTAAATAYAGGTAGTCTTTCACTATCACTTCTTGACTTCTCCAAGATCTTCAATGCTGTCATCATCCACCTAGGGAGAAAGAGCCAAAACACAGCAAATTAAGTATTTTCTTTTTCCATGCCTCCTTCAATGCAAAGCCCTGTAAATGTAGTGAAGTGTATGGGAAATGAACAGCACCATTTCAGATCCCTGCTGTAAATTCTGTGTGAGTGATGTGTGCTTGCAGGACACAGCTGAGCATGCAGGGCTGGGAATACAGACCTGGCCTCTGGAGTGAAACCATAAAGAATTCCACTTGGGAAATGCCAGGACAAGGAGAGTCAGAAAAAGCACTTGCAGTTACAGCTCTCAGCAGCCAAACCAAACTAGCTGATCTCTTCTTCTGAAGCACAAGTGTGTGRGGTTTGGGGTTTTTTGTTTCAATTTTGCATTGTTTTATGAGGTGTTAAAAACCAGGATGGCAGTGTAAGAATACTTGTGACACTCACTGTTAAGAAATGGTCACAAAGAAACCACAGATATCTGACAGCTGGATTTATTCTGACAAGCCTCTCTCACTGTAGGGTGGGAATACAACAACTGGTCTTTTATTTTTGTGCACCAATCTGTGGTGCCAAAAATGAACCCCTTTTCTGAAATCATTTTAAAGTCACARGCTAGTGTGGAAAAGTGTATGTCTTCCAGACAGAAGAAAGGGTTTATTACCTCAGGCCACTTCTCCTGGATTACATCAATAATGTCATCTGTAAAGTCCCCCTGAATGATGATCTCATCTTCTCCTGTTACTGAGGCACCGCAGGAAAATTTCTGAGCAAAAAACCTTTGTGCTTCCTTAAGATCGATTTCTGCCCAGGGGAAAAATGGAAAACTTAAGTACAGCCATTGTCATAAAAGTATTCTCTTAAGTTTAAAGCCAAAATCTTGTTTTAACTGTTGAAAAAGTAGTGGCAYTTTATAGCTGAAGCTTTGCTAGAGTTTCCATTGAAAGCCAGGTCTGCTGTTTACACCCAAAACATCTGATCCAGCAAATGCTTCAAGGTGGAAAGAGCTGAATGTCCTCTACACGTTCTGTTGACCTGAGTCTGTGCCCTGTTTCAAAAAACCCACAGCCCTATTTGCTTGAAAAAACATGGCAGTAAGTACCTTAATAATTTATCCCAGTGGAAAGTCACGACCTTTGAATGCTTTGGAACTGCTAAAAGCACCTCCAATACCAGGAAAACCCAAACTCACCAAACGTTGCGAGGCCACACACTCTTGTGACATATTTTTTCTTTGCTCTGGGAATTTTAGCTATTGTAACTTTCTGTGGTACAGTCTTCTTTTTCTGTTTTATCTGACCTCTTCCACCTTTAAAACAGAGCATAAGGGTTCATGGTTCATCAAAAAAAAAGAATACAAGATTTCATCTCTATAAACAAACTTTTACAGCCCCAACTGTGTCAGTGAACAAAAGTATGTTTTGCACATTGTTTAGTATTATTTAAGAAAGATCCCATGTCATCAAAGCTCAGTATAATAAAAAATAACAATATCTACATGTCAAATGTGCATTCAAGCACAGGTTGCACAGCAGATCCTCACTGCAATAAGCAAAAAGGGCTTTTCCCCACACTTTACCAATCAGTGTGTTTAGCCTATATTTATGTTGTTCTCTRGGTGTAATCCTAGCAATAAATTTTTCTTTGTGTTTTCCACAAGTATTTTAACATCCTCGGGGGGTGTGTCCAAGGCAAAGCAAGCAGCTCATGCCCATTTCCCGAGGCCACAAGGCCACGCTTTCCTAAACAGCAGATCARGTTCTGGATACCTGTGCACGACCCYAGAATGAACCACACAYGGATATATGAGCCAGCAGCAAACCCCACAACTCTGCCAGGCACCGACTGCCCAATCCCACATCATCTCACCCCACCTTTCCTAYTGCCTGTTTCTAGGCCAACTGTGGGAACACTCCCCGTATCAGGCATTTATGAGTCGGAGCAAAGCAYGCAAAAGATGCATTCTGCTCATTAAGATTCTTCAAGCCAGATTAAGATCTCGGCTAACTCAGTGTACAGTCATCAAGTTATTCCAGGGTAACCAAAGTTTCAGGTTTCTGAGCCTTCTCAGCGTGAAAATCTAAAGAATTTATGACAAGCAAACCAATCCCTGTTTTTTTTCCTAACACGCAGCACTTTCAATTCTGTTTTAWTATGAACTGGTGTCTGGTAATTTTAAGACAGTAAATGTCTATCTTAAATTTTCCTCAGTAAGTTTCTGTAGTGTCTTACAAAGTTTTCCCTCACACTCTCTCTTATGATCACTCTTACACCATCCTACTTAACATCGTACTGTAAGTTTTCACAAAACTTTAGATTCTAGGAGGAAAAAATTCACTAAATGTTTTAAACCTTCTTATTTGAGAACCAGATTGAAGACTAACCATCCCACCCCTCACAACAAATTAATGTTGAATGAAAATGTCCTGAAATTTCCAGGGAAAGGATCCAAGTTGCAGAACATGAAATGCTGCTGTCACTACACATTGCCTACTGAGAAGGTAAATTAAACTGGTTACCACAAAAACAAAACAAAAATATATGTGGCATAAAATAYGAATTTTACTAGGTATTAACCACAATTTATGGATCACTACACACAACTGACACTTCACAGGCAAATGAATATTAACAGCTCCAGCACTCTGATTTATGGTGGAAACTATGTTAATTAATTCAGCAGAAAGAACTCCTAGGATAAAAGTGTGTTTAAATTGTTCCACATAACTTTATATCTTCCAAAGTTGGGTTTTGAAAATGCTTTGCATTAATAGAGCTAGGAAGAGACACAGCTGCTAATGGTGACACAGGTAATAGATTTAAAAGCGTAAAACCAAATCCTGTTCCGTGATTACAGAGAGGTGGAAGGAACAAAGGCAAAAGCAGAGTCATGAGGCATTAACAGAGGGAAGCAGCCTTTGTTCTGCTCTGCAAGCAGCCCATAAAATGCTGCTCAACAGGGCAGAGTATTCTGGGAGAAATGCCAGCTGATTTCAGGGTGGGAAGAATTGCTCCCTAAGTGTGACAGCGGTGACAGGAACAAAGGGGCACAGGATGCAGCTCACCTTTCCCTGCCTGTCCCTCCCATCCAACATTTCCATTGGCACACACCACAGAGTTAACTCTGCTGCCACAGGGAGGAAGGAAGATATTCCCTGTCCTCTGTGCAGAGCTAACCACCGAAATGCAAGGAATTCCAGACCAGCAGGTGAGAAAGGGACGCCCCAAACTGCTCTTAAATCAGTACCACAATCAACTATTTAGACCTTGCCTCTCTTTTGCTTCTTCTTCTCCTCTTCTTCTCCTGCTCCCACATTTCCTTGGCCTTCTCCAACCCCAGCTTCCTGTTTAGGTGAATTTTCTTTAATGCATCAGAAAGGAGGGAAAAAAAAAAAGAACAAAATTAGTGGCCAGACACCCACAGGCTTATAGGAACAGGAAATAAGGTACAGTGATAATTTGCTAAATGAGTAAACTGTGCTGAAGTGCAGCAGCCCCTTGACTGAGGCATGCTGCATCCTCATTACAGAATTTACACAAATTAGATCCAGAAAAACCTCAGCTCAAAGATACACAGACAATTTCAATAAAGGCTCTTGTACAGAGAGCCAGAAATGAATGATAATGTTAATATCGAAATTCCAAATGCAAACAAATCGGTTCCCCATTATTAATGATCTTTTCTCCAGCCATCCATTGTACACTGGACACATAAAATGCAATAAACTAACTTTGATGGGAAACAAATGCATGGATGAATGTTTATAGGAGGAACCTTAAGAAAGCTCAAATCTTATTAATAAAACTAAACATTGATTATTTAGTGCTTTCTGA